GCTTTTTGCACCCCCACGGTCCATTATTAATTCACTGTGGTAAAACTGTGTGTTTGTCTTTTTAACACCTTAACCTCAGCCTTCATCAGTGTCTACAGGAGTGGTCCATCACTAAATCAGACAACTCAGCTGTGTTCGGGATCTAAAACATGCTGGAAGCAGACTGCAGCGCTAGCATGTCAACTAGCCGCTTTACTATTGACTAGCAGGGACCCAGCAAACATGCCCGTTAGGGCCGCCAAGTGGGATCTGCACGAAGGGTTGCCCACAGTGAGACCCACAGCTGTCCTGAAATGTAGGACGCATGTGGGCCCCATCATTTAGAGCCATGTAGGGGCCCAACAGGGCTTGGCCTGCATATGTGGGCCCTCATGTGCCCTGTTTCTGATGCGACTGCTGTATAGACATGACAGTTGCTTTATCGCTGTGGAGCTTAAGACACCATCCATAAAGGAGGGGGCAGACGCTAGATGAATAAGGTTTGACTGACTGAATGAACACTAGACAGGCTGAAGAACTCCTCTAGATGAATGGACCGAAACCCTGATGAGTCCTGCTTCATTTAACAAAAGCTACATGTGCTACTGCACATGTGGGAATTAGAGTAAACGTGTGTGTTTCTGTAACATATTAGCAGCAAAAGCTTTTATCACACAAGAACAGGCTGGTCTCTGATGATCAGTAAAAAATAAAAGGTTGGGATAAATCAGATTTATCAGACATGTCGGGTGAGCTGCTCTGCAACAACGTTACAGGTGTGAGTAAGAAGCAAGCTGTGAAGAAGTTCAGGTCATCGTTTTTGTTTCATTATGTTAATGGTCTCCGCAGCACGAGGCTGCTGCCAAGATCGAGTCTCCACACTAAGCCGAGAAGCAGGGGCACTGTAATGTCCAGCAATGGTCAGTTTTTAGGTACAGTTTGACCATTCAACATCTGGTCAAAAAGGAGACACGAGACTGCATGTGTCCCCTTTAAATCAGCCTGCCTCCATCCCACCAGCTGGAGCTCAGAGCCTTCAGCTCTGAAGACAGATAACGCAATGTCAACAATAACATTCTCTCCTCAAGGTCCACTCTTTCAGGATTCTTCACGCCTCCATATAAGGAACACTCGCAGCCCGGATTTCCTAAATCAGATATGAACTTCTACAATGTATAAGCAAGATAATCATTTTTAAAAAGTTTGTTTATTGCTACTTATAATAATTATAATATAATGAAATGCTTCATCAATCTGTGCTCAATGATTGAAGTTTGAAATGAATGTTGTGTTATGATTACAGTGATTGATATATGTTTCAGCAGGGGCGGCGTTAGGCCCGGCTACTTGGGCTCAAGCCCCGAATGTTTTATGAAAAGCCCCGGATCTAAAACGTGGAAGTAACATGCAGTACCAAAGTCCAACAGAGAGGGAGCAGCTGGCAGTAGTTTGTATACAGCCTGCCTGAGCCTCTACCACTGAAGAAGAAGCCCTTCAGCAGCCGGATTCTTCTACACACTCTGCCTGAAACGCATGAGTGAAGATGGACATAAGGACGTTTTTTAGACCAAAAGTACAACGACAGAACCCCAGCTTTGATGAGACTGGTGCTGACTCAGGTTTGTGAGTCTTATTTGAAAATATTTGTTGTGCTGTTGGTTTGCCTAAAGTTAGCTTACTATCAGGTAAAGTTGTTGGAGAAAGAAAGGGAATATTTACTATCATCTCACACTAAACCCTAACAGGAACAATACTCTGCCCTGAAAATGCTTAATATGTAGCTTCAGATTAAAAATTATGTGGTACAAGATATATATGATGTTGACTAGTGTGTGTGTGTGTGTGTGTGTGTGTGTGTGTGTGTGTGTGTGTGTGTGTGTGTGTGTGTGTGTGTGTGTGTGTGTGTGTGTGTGTGAGCCCTGGATCTTCTTCAGTCCTAAATCCGCCCCTGTGTTTCAGCATGTTGATATGACAAGGCCATCACCATTTGCACTCACACAAGGACAAAGTAAGGTAAAGTTAAACCCATGACACATAGATAGTCCTCTACCCAGATCAGAGCATCCGGTATCAGAGAAGGCGCGTTTCTGAGATTCTTGGTAATATTCCTCAAACTTGTCAACCTCTGGTTGGCTACACAAATCATAATATGAAAACATTAAAACTGGATCACTCTGGTGATTCAGCAGTTCTAGAGAAAGCTTCAGACCGGCCATCTGAAACAAAACCCTCTTTAACCATCAAAGCTTTGACACGTCGTCAAAACCTTTTTGCACCTGCGAAGCTGATACCGCAACAGTTCCTGTAGAACAAGCTGATATTGTTTAGACTCCTTAAGAGTCCTAGACGCGCGGTTCCATCCGTCTGTCGTGACCTGAGACATCTCTGGACTGGAGAAGTCGGTGCTGTGGTCAATCTACTGGACCTCCGGTGCCAGAGGTCATCAGACCTCTCTGACCTTCAGATCCACCAAGAGGGTCTCCAAGAACAGGTGAAGTAGACACACAGCGTCAGATGTGTTTTTGATAATAATCAACTTCATAGCTTAACACAAACCAAATTCTTTTACATCCAGAACTCAGCTCTCCTAGATACGTAAGTTCTGATAACATCACATTCACACATAGGTTCATACATCACATCTAGTTCCATCCATCACAGTAAATGTTAGTTAACTTGTCATGTTTTAATTGTTGGTAAAATAAATTCTTACTTTTATAAACCTGACTCTTTTCTGAATCAAAACAAAGTGTGTACATTCCCCTAATAAATAAAGAATCCTAGAACCTTCTGATCAAACACAGTAAAGACCAGGCAGGGTTGATATTCTATATTTAGCTAGAGTATCACAGCGTACTGGTCATAAGTAGAGGTAATATCTATTGAGCTCTTATAGCACTCCATTTACCAAACCCTACACACACAGAGAGAAGAATAGAGCTGGCGCAGACATCTCCTGTGAGTAATTCTTCCTGTGGTGGAACACAGTCTAATGCTCTCACCGTATCTGAAAATACCACCACAATTAGCGGCAGACGTCCCCATTGAGCTCTGCAGCGTGGGGTCAATTACTGTTTGTGAGGTGGCGTGGCAGGATCTGCAAAAGACTCGAGGAGGATGGATAATCGCATTACGGAAGCTAACAGGCTGCTGTTTGCCACACGGTGTAATGAGATGCAAAACACGAAATCTCAACAGAAGAATTCTGTCGAGATTTTTGGTCCAGTCAGAGGATTCTTCTGCCTGTGCACGTGTTTTTATGTGAAACCCCGTCAGCCATGTTCTCCCCAACAACCTCTGGGAAATCTGGCGTCTGCAGTCGCTCTCAGAACCAGCCTGGCCTTGCCCCCAGCCGCCACTGGGACGAGGGTATCAGATTCTGCTGCAGCGACTCAGCAATCACACCATCATGTCAGCTCATCATGGAACAGCAGGATGTTTGCCTGCAGACAACCGAGGAGCTGTTTGTTGCTGATCATGATGATGATGATGATGAGTGCTGTCTGTACTCCCAGTGTCTCCTGGGGTTTACTGTTTAATGACACTCTTTCACAGACGATCGGACACCTCTCGTAACCCGGAAGTATCCATCCAAGAGCTCGGATTAGAACGTTCTCATCATTATAAAATTCTTCATCTTCACTGGAGTCCAAAACAGATTCACTACACTCGTGTTATGGTTCCAGGATGTTTGCAAACAGTTGATAATGCAGCCATCTGATTGGAGTGTGTGTTGTTGGCTCTCAGCTACCACGTGTAGACCTGGGTGTATATATGATGTGGTCGCCATCTTGGATTAGATTGACACGTTTGTTAGCAACACGAATAAAAGAACAAGAGTAGAATGTCCTGCATCCTGCACACACACACACACACACACACACACACACACACACACACACACACACATACAGGATAGTGTGCATGAACATTTACAGACTTCACACAAACCTGTTCATGAGCACAAATAATGTGTCGGATTAAGTTCTAATCCACAGATTATGAGTCAGCAGCAGAACACACTACCATCGATCTGAGAGGATAAAACATAAACGTCTTATAAAAACAAAGATTCAGCCTGATTTATAAGAGAACCCGTGTTTCGGTAAGCGTTATCAGATTATAGGTTTGTTACTGACACTCCCTGATGCTGCCTTCACACGATGCTGAGGAGGGTTGCCGTGGTGACGAGTTACCAGGAGCTCTGTGTTTATGAGCCAACATGAACGTGCTGCACTGAGCCTGAATGCTGTTAAAATGACTCTGTGCCTTGCTTCAGGGCTGAGTTACACTTTTACTTTTTCTACTCGAGTAAGCCACAGGAGTCCACCTCCTGCTCCTCAGCTTCTGATGCTTTTATCTGACACCAAACTTCCCTTGTTTATCTAAAATACTCAGATAAAAGCCTCCGGCTGACAGGAGGGGAGGTGGACTGATGCTGCTCAAGGGCCAAGGTGACTTCAAAGCAAGGGCATCCTCTCCTCCACCAACTCACCCGATACACACACACACACACACACGGCCACACACATGCGCACGCACACGCACGCACACACACACATACACACACGGGCGCGCGCACACACACACTCACACGCACGCATGCCCACACAGCAGCAGCAGCAGATTTCAGCCCTGCAAGTGGACATTGTTGCGGACAGCATCAGGACCGCCACCGGACATTTGAGAGAACCCGGGTCTGCTCCTATCTGGTCACTTTCTCTCTTCGTTATTCACACTTTTTCATGCATTTCTTTAGCGACTCTGACTTTGGGTGAGTATTCAGTTAAAGCCCCAGATCGGAGCTGCGGGAGCATCCTGCCTCCTCTGAATAAAAACAAGGTTCGCGCTCCGCTCCAGGAGAAACCTCACATCCCAACATCACGTCACATCAACTTGAAAGCAAACAAAAGAAGCTTCTGTTCTTCCGCAGATGTGGGCTCGAGCACCGAGCGGGGCTCCACCGGAAAACAACGGTTTTAATGTCAGCAGACACTCAGCAGAGCTTACTTCCTCCTTACCGGGTCAGGAACCGGGAGGATCCGACGCGGAGCGGCGGAATGTGCGGGCGGGAAGACGGTAAATCCCGGTTCTGGCGAAGCTGGAGACAAATCCTGCGTGCGCTTTCTCTCAGAGAGCAGCTGCTGGTGCTGATGCTGCTGCTGCTGCTGGAGGAGGACGGAGAACCCAAGGGCGCGCGCTCGACACGTGCACGACGGCCAGGTCTGGGCTCAGACTGGAGGTACCGACCGGTGAGAGCTGGTACCGCGGAGGAAGTAGATGGTAATAAAATGGTTTAGTCAGATGAAACCTGATCAAACTTCACCACAAACGAACCGAAAAGGAGCCGAGATTAGCAGCTTAATTAATTCATCATTCAAATCCAAATGAATGAATAACTATGTGGGAATATTTAGACTCAGACAGTTCATGGATGGATGAACCAGAGAAAAACGCTCATAGATCAGGAAAGTCCTGATCCTTTTGTTCCAGACAGAGGATCTCCTGCTTTTATTTTGTTAGTCTGGATTCACATGTTACAACGTTCGGTTTTAAAATGTCACATTCAGATTTTCTGGATCAGATTTTACTTCCTATTTAGATTTGAATAGATTTAACCATTTAGTGTGTAACCAACAAAACTCCTGCTCTAGAAGCTAACAGGCTGGCATTCCCACATCCAGCCAAGGAGCTTCTTGGTGAGTCAGGTTGACACATGAATGTTTGTTGTCTCAACAAAGTTTCCTCATTCTCAGAGATTCCCATCGGACGGCTGCAGGAGGCACGTAGGAGCTGGCTGAGTCAGGCTGCATTCATACCTGACATGATTATTAATCTGGGAAGTGTTTTGTTCTTCTCCAAACCAGAAACCACAGACAAACTTAATCTCTGAACTAACATCTGAACAGAAAACCCCAGCTTTATTTCCTGAGGAAACTCAGATGGTGAAACACAACAACAGGGGCGGTTCTAGACCAAATTTTCCAGGGGGGCCACAGTGGGGCCAGTATTTTTTCATGGGGGCACAAGAAAAAAAAATCATAATAAAAGACAATGAACAAGTAAACTATTACGGCAAATGCAGTAATGGTTTACTTGTGAAAGTAAAACTGGCATGTTTTTATGGTACTCAGATAACAATTCTGAATGCTTCACAGTAACATGAGACTTGAGTAAAAAAAACAATTCTAGTCAATTATTATAGTTTGTGACTTTATTAGAAGATTATATGAACTGTACATATGAAAAATAAACATTCAAACAAATAAAATATCTGCACATGAACTGTACATATGAAAAATAAACATTCACTCACTCACACACACACACACACACACACACACACACACACACACACACACACACACACACACACACACACACACACACACACACACACACACACACACACACACACACACACACACACACACACACACACACACACACACACACACACACACACACACACACACACACACTTCTTTTGTGTAAGTTTTTGCTGATTTAGTTTTACAGCATAAATCATCATCAAGATGTGACAGTAATTGGTCACACAGTAATCTGTCCCATTACAATAACAGTATTCTACGTTTGTGCTGTCTTGCAAAACGGTCTACAAATGCTTCAAGATTCAGAGCCTTGGCCCTTCTGGATTCAATGCTTAGCACCCCTAGATTGCTAAGGCGCTCATCTGTAGTGGTAGACCGGAGGTAGGTTTTTACTAATTTTAATGTTGAAAAACTCCGCTCACAAGAGGCAGAACTTACTGGGAGTGCAACTGCGATTTTGCACAGTCTAAAGAACTCGTAAAATACCTCCTTGTGAAACGGATCAACTCCACTGTATCAGAAAGCTTTTCAACCACACCAGTCTTTATTTTTCTATCCAAAAGTCTCTTGAACTGATGCAGTTCATGCCCCAGATCCTCAATATTAGCATCAAAAAGATGACCAAACTCAAAGTGGTGTCTTTCAAAAAAGCATCACTTTTAGGGTTAAGAGATCGAATACTGCTCATCAGCTCACAACTGGTCTTTGAAAAACGTCTGCTCAGTTCACTTAGCATGCAGTCAATGACAGGATAAAAAAAGAAGACCGATAAGTTTCTTTGTCAGAGGCCAGCTCCCTCTGACCAACTGAGCTTAGTATGTGGTACTCACGAAGTCTGGAGCTTGTCTTTATCTGTCGTTTTGCTTCCGACTGTGTGGCAGCATCACACTGTTCACAAATGTTCAGTACTTCCCCCCACAACTTGTCAAAAAAGGACTCCTGCCTGAAATCTGTTAAAGTCTGCACTAATCCTTCAACTAAACGGCTGCTTTTGAGAGGTCAACAGTTGAGGACTGCAGCATATCTGAAAGAAGCTTTGTTTCCCCGAACAATGTACGGAGCGTAACAAGATGCACAACAAATTCTAGGTCAATCTGTGCCAGAAGACCTCGAGCCTCAGAAGATTTTTCTCCCCTGCGCTCTTGTGCAGTCTCTTGCAGGACACGTTTTAGGGCAGGTAATCTGTCCATTATGTTGCGTAGAGCAATGAATCGGCAAGCCCATCTTGTGTCACTTAATTTTTGTAGCTCTCTTGTGCTGCCATACATCTCATTTTGCACAGCCAGCCATTTGGGGTGTACATATGAGCCAGAAGTAAAAACATAGAGACTCTGTAACAGAGCAAAAAATTCCTCTGCTTCTGGGACTGCTTTGATAGAATCAACTAATACTAAATTGAGACAGTGGGCACTGCAATGGATGTAAAATGCAAATGGAGCTGTCTCTTTAATTTTAGCCTGGACCCCAGAATGCTTACCACTCATTACAGCAGCACCGTCATATGCTTGGCCTATAAGGTGGTTTTTGTAGTCTAATCCATGGTGTTCCAATAGGTTGACTATCTTTTCAGTAAGGCCCACTGCATCTAGTCTTTCTGCAGATTCAAAATGGAGAAAACTTTCCTTGATAGCTCCATCATACCTGAGTATGAATGATATCTGCTCCTGTTTTGAAACATCTTTAGTCTCATCTGCCATGATGCTGAAATACTGACTGCTTTTCACTTCTTCAATGATTTCAGAGCGTACCATTTCTGCCAAACAATCAAGAACCTCATTTTGAATGACCTTGCTTGTGTATTTTGCGTTGTGAATGGATGTGAGTCTACGTTTAACAGCTGGATCATGATTTGCAACCATTTCAAGAATTTCCCTGAAGTTGCCTTTGTTATTTGATTCCTCAGACTCATTGTGTCCTCTCTGTGCTATGTTTTGCCGGGCTGTAAGCAAAATCACTTCACCAATTGTTCTGATATACTCACGATTTTCTTTAACCTTTTTACTGTGTTCCTTGTCGAGTATATTAGCCAATGTTGTATTAGCTTTCACAGCCCTCTGGTAGTCCCTCCACGCTATCATTGAGTCCTTATGCCTTTCAGACTTTGCGTGTACTGAAAACCCCCCTCCTCTCTCAGTTGCTTTTTTCCAGTTTCTAAATCCACACTGAGAGTCAAACACACTTCCTGCGCTACTTGGTGGGCTAAAATGTCTGCATGCATGACAATAAGTAGAGTCCATTGAAACCGAATATTCAACCCAAGGATGACTTTCATACCAGCTTGGCTGAAAGCTGCGTCTTCTGTCTCCTATTAATGTCCCTGGAAATGTCCTCAAATGAGGCTGAGTAGGTGGGTCATCTTTGCACTTGCTGATATCTGAAAGAAAATAAATGTTAGCATGAGGATAAAAGTCATAATTAGTTAATTCAGAGTCTTATTTTATCTATTTATTAAATATAAACAACAGAAATGTTGGTCCAGAGTCAGCATGCCTCAAATGCATTTTACACACAATATGAGCTGCAAACACAGAGGGGTTGTTCAACACCCACAAACCTGACGGTAGTGCACATGACCGAAGATGTCCCTCTTTTTGCTCCTCACTCTCTCCCTCACAGCCTACATCTTCCTCCTCACTCTCAGGGTGGACAGCCTCTGACCTCTCTGGTTCCTCTCCAACCATCTCCTCCTTCTCTCTTTCATCCTGCTTCTCAGCTCCCTCGTGACTTTCATCCTCTCTCTGTCTACGCTGTTCTTTATTAACAGCGGTAAAAAAGGACAAAATGTCCCTTTTTTTCATGGCCGCTGATGCTTCCAGTCAGTGCTGCGAGAAAGTCATAGATAAATGAATACTGTGATCTAATCTCAACGTGTCTAAGGCTTAAAATGCAGCAACTTCATTTTTATTTTACAGTTAATGTTACAAAGGAAAAACAAATCAGTGTTAACTGTGGATAGACTCGGTTAGGAACTTAAAAGTAAATGACAGAAACGCGCGACTATGATCAAAACATTAATGTCAGGAAAATAAACTGTACTGCTTACCTTCGTCTCTTAGCGTCTTTTCCGTTTAGAGTCCTCAAGAACTTCTTCGGGTCCTATTTAAACTATTTTTAATCCTTCATTCAAAAATCCACCGCGTAAAGTTCTGTCCACAGAGCGTGCTGCGCTTTAAAGGCTCCGTGTGAAACGCTGCAGCGCATTAGTTCCCGTCTCCGAGGCAGCGCGCGGGTGGGGGGGGGGGGGGGGGTGGGGGGGGGAATCCGATCTCTTCAGCACAGGGGCCATAACAGGGGCCAGGGCCGGTTCTACAGGGGCCCAGGCCCCTGTGGGCCCCCGTTTAAAACCGCCATTGCACAACAAACACATTCTCACTCCCAGTGCGTCAAAAACAAACGCTTGGTCAGCCACCCTCCGCGTCAGACCCCTGACGCCAAAAGTGCCCTTTTTCGTTACGTATGTGTGAAAAGGGGTTTTTGCCTTTTGTAACTGCAGATCCCAGTGCAGCGTAAAATTGACACGATGGGATGTCCGCTGATGGGGCACCGAACCAGCTCGTTTAACCGCACCTAAACCTTAACGTTTCACTATTTATAACCTTCCCCTCATCCTAACCCTAACCCTCTTGCTACCTAAAACGTTACTCTCACTGTGATCAAGCATTTGTTTCCCATGCATTCTGACTGTGAATTTTTGCATTTGCCACCCAAGGGGAACATTAGAACATACCATCTGGCGAGGGGGAGGTTACAAATACCCTCTACTTTTAACCTCCACCGTGGTAGTTGAAACCTCCCCCTCGGGTTGGCTCGGTCCAAACTCGACCAATGACGAGGCGACTCCCGCCATTCACTTCATAGAGCCGGCTTTTAGAGCGACCGACACATCACTAACGTGTTAGCTAGCAAGATGGTTAAGGTTAGGATGGGGTGAGGCAGCGCCGGCGCTCCGCACACGCACACCACGCACAGCGCGTAGGGCACCACGCCGGGGGAGGGGCACCAAAACGCAAGCTTATGAAAAAATAATATATATATATGATGAAGACAGATTTCAATTAGAAGATGTGCAAAGCAAGTTAACAGCATGTTTACAGAGAGAAAACAATACAAAAAGGAAAGGAGATGGACCGTGTCCACTTTTCACTCTGTCCGGGACGTCCGGACTGGTTCTTGTATTGATGAAAATGTCAGCTTTTCATCCAGGAGCAGGGATCGAATTATGGGGGAGCTGTATATCCTACACATCCAGGGGAGCTGGAAAAAAGTTTTCTACCTATATTACATCATTTATGGACTCTTTGGAGCAGAGAGCACAGACAGTGACACAGCGCTGCGTTGTTGCGCAGCGCTCCAGGCAGCTGCTTCCAGCGCACGGTCCATTCTCAAAGTGGCGCAACCAAAAAACTATAATTAACACACGATCGTTCATGTACGCTCATGTTCTCTACTTTCTGTCTTATTTGTGCCTGGCGCTGTGCTGCGGAGCTCATCGCCTGCACTGCAGTGATTTTACCTCACTGACGCAGCATCGAAATGCACTCTCCGCTTTGCGGTCAGGAGATCCCTTTGATCTGCTCAGAAGTAAATGATGAGGTGAAAAAGTAAGAATCCAGGCAACAGATTTTCTGGAGAGTTTAGAGGAGATGCAGGAAGATAAGAGACAGACAGGGCAAGAAAATAGTTCAATAAAAACAAGAAAACAAAACAAAGTGTTGAAAAGTAAAATGTAGGTAGATTTATCTCCACTACACGTTTTTACCTGTACAAAACAATAAATTACACACATGCAATATTTATACATCTGATACAATTCAGATCACCTTCAAAACTCAGTCACACACCCAGGGCCATTTCAAGACATTTTGGGGGCCAAGGCAAAATGACACCCCCCCCCCCCCCCCCCACACACACACACACACACACTAAATATCAATCCTACTTTTTGGAAAATAATAAGCAGTTTTTGCATACAAGAGAATTAAAGAGAATTTAAGGCGAAGCGCTTGCACATACTGTGTTATTGTGTTGTTTTTTTCGGTATGTGGGGGGGGGGGGGGGGGGGGGGGCACCATGAAGCCTTTGTGCTTAGGGCACCAAAATAGCTAGCAACAGCCCTGGGGTGAGGGGAAAGTTAAATAAGAGGATAAGGTTAGGGTGAGGCACAATGAGCTTGTTTGGTGCCCTGGCTGCGGACATCTCATTGCGTCAGTTTTACGCTGCATTGGGATCTGCAGTTAGAAAAGGGAAAAACCCCTTTTTGCACATAAATAACAAAAAAGGGCACTTTTGGCATCAGGGGTCTGACGCAGAGGGTGACTGATCAAGCGTTTGTTTTTGACGCGCTGGGAGTGAGAATGTGATCGATCAGACGCTCACTTCTACCTCAGACACACCTAAATAAAGAGTTTGACCAGAAACGGCTTTCATCTGTTTCTGAAAAGAACTCTTCACACAGATTTTATTCCAAATGTTTGAATGTAATTTAATTAGATTATAAATTGTGTGTCATTATATGAATTTTTACTAATAAAATGTCATTTGCTTGTTGCTAAACGCGACTAAAAGCAGCTGTTTTTGTATTATGACAGTGTGAGTGTTGCCTGTGACCTTTAACCCTAAACAGTTAAACCTTCCTCTTAGTTTGACCCGAGGTGCCTCTATTCTTATTGTGTTCAGCGGTTCAGATTAAATTGAGTCCCTTTTTATTTGTGTGTTCCATTATTTATTCAGACCCTCCACAAATACACAATAAACGTTCTCCAGCAGGCCAAACACCGGATGTCAGCGACCCATGGAAACGGCGCCATCGTGGCCGTGCACCGGCCACTCATCAACGTGTTTGTCAGCAACATGAAGAAAATCCTTTTAGCCAGACTCAAACTGTTCACAATGACAGTGTTCGTTTGTGCACGTGTGCACTAAACTAATAAACACAGCCATTTATAAATAAATACATGCATATTTAAAGAGCAAGTCACCCCCTGCCAGAGTCTTACTCCACTCCCACTTCCTGTTTGAAAAATGCAAAAAATGCTGTTGCCTGGCAGACTACACACACACACACACACATGCGCGCAACATTGTGACCTCATAATGTACCAGCTGACATCATAGTGTACTTCTTAGCCTATAGCAATGGCAGATTAAATGTAAATGCAATGCAGAGTTTTTACCTGACAACTGGGCAACAATGACAGTTTTAGGCAGAATATTTAAATTTGAACTAAGATGCACTTAAGTGCCAAATGATTGACTGCATGTGTCTACAGCATGGTTACACACTCATTTATATAGTTAATCAGCAAAAAAAGAAGTGGATTTGGGGGCGACTTGCTCTTTAATGACTACAAATGTGCGTTTAAATTTTCAGGGAGCTGAATTAGTCAACTATCAGAAAACATATTTTATACATTTAAATGTTATCTGTGTTTCTAACGCTTGGTGTCACTTGTGTTTTATTAGTGATGTAAAGCCTTGGTGCAGATGAGCAGGAATGAGTCAGAGTAAAAAATAAAGTTTCTGACCAGCAGAACACTGGGAGGTACAGAGAGAGCAGCGAGATGGGACAGAAATCCACAAAGACGTGTTTCTGCAGCACCGATGGGTCGTCTGGATCAGCTTTATTCACCCAAAACTAAAACGAACAAAAACAAGAGTTTTTTATAGTTGCTTTATAAACCGTTGGGAGGTTCCTAAACTTTGAAAATGAGCAGTCTGAATATCCTTTGGCGCAGTCTAAACTGGAGCTTTAACACCACCTGCTGGTGTTGTAGAGGAGATACAACTGTTCAGCCTACAGGTGTAATAAGACTCAGGTAATTATTAGTAATGGCATAACTGAATGTATTTATCAGAAAAGTGTGCTGATAAAATATGAGAAATGTTCATAATATAAAAACTTAAAGGTGTGATATTCCATACATTAGTAGTGCTCTCTGGTGTAAATCGATGCCTTATTTAAGACGCCCCTTGGGCATTTTGACTATCTGGTCTTTGGCTCTTTAGCCTTCTTGGGCTTCGCTCATTTTCCCCACCAGTTCATCAAGAACTGCTTTTCCTTTTACTCAACTTAGCTCGGTCAATAAACCTTTTGTCTGGTCACCCGACTCTGAGAGATCCTTCCAGGAGCTCAAAACTAAGTTCATCCAAGCACCAGTCCCGACTCATCCTGACCCCACATCCCAGTTTACTCTAGAGGTTGATGCTTCTGATTCCAGCGTTGGTGCTGTTTTGTCCCAGGTTTCTTCCACAGACCCTGTCTTCGCCCCCTGCACCTTCTTTTTCGGACCCCTGTTGAGCAAAACTACGATGTGGGCAATCGTGAACTGCTTGCCATAAAACTGGCCTTTGAGAAGTGGGCTGGAAGAGGCAGAACATCCTGTCGTAGTTTGGACTGATCACAAAAACTGCTCCTACGTCAAAGAAGCCAAAAGACCAACCCCCATACCCCCCCACCCCCACCAATCACTGTGGTCCCTTTTCTTTTCCCATTTTAACTTCCTGATCTCTTACAGACCCAGAACAAAGAACACCAAACCTGATGCACAATCCCGTCAGTATGCCTCTGACATGGACAGTGAGCCATCCACCATCATTCCCCCATCACGTGTGATTGGAGCAGTGACCTGGGGCTCACTAAGAGACTCATGGAAGCCCAACGTTCCGCGCCAGGTATGCCCCCCACCAATAAAACACGTTCCTTCCAGAATGCAAGGCCCACTCATTCATTGGGCCCACACTGCCAAGTTCTCCATTCACTCAGGTGTGAGCAGAACCCTGTCCCTACTCTGCAGAGGTTTCTGGTGCATGGTACATTGGTGCATGTCACCTTTGTGCTCTATCAACAGCAGTAATCAGCCCCCGCTCGATCCTCTCAGTTCCTGCCCGTCCTTGGTCCCACGTGGCCTCGTACTTTGTCGCTGGCCTTCCCCCTTCCTGTAGTTTCTCAGTCATCCTCACCACAGATCGCTTTTCTAAAGCCTGTCACCTGATTTCCCTCAAAACATTGCCTTCATCTGTCGAGACTGCCAGCCTGCTCATAAAGCATGTGTTCTGCCTACATGGCATCCCTGACGAGATCCTTTTGGGTCAGTCCCCATTCAAGGTTTCTCTCAGGTATCACCCTCCCCTGTTCCCTTCTGAAAAGGTTTCTCCCACCACTGCTCCTCTGTTCATTTGCCGTGTAAGGCACACTTAGTCCCAGAGCTCAGCA